GTGTCTCGGGATGCGTGTCAAGTATGGGAATGGGATTTAAGTCCCGTCTGGGGCTGTCGAGCCGTTTGGGTACCGACGATGAGGTCGATGACGATTTGTATGGTTTTGACTTTAGGTTCACCCGTGGAGGAGCACTGAGACCGGAGGGTTGATTGACATGACCTGAGACTTTTGTTAGATTCAGCCTACACTGTGAGTGACGATACCCTCTCTGTGCATGTATTTTGTGTGCCGTTTTCCTAGCTTGATGATTGTGTGGATTCAAAAACTGTATATTGATACATGAACCATATGATATGTGTTATGTGTTGCTTTCTGTTTGGTGAGATATATATATTAGTATGTGAAACTGGGTTGAGATTTGGAAACTGTACATGTTGTATGCCTGTTTGTATGAATGTGTGGGGAGTTCATGATGCGCTGAGACCGTTTGCTCCGGTCGTGAGATGGAGGATGCCTCTCGACCGGGAGCGTGTGTTGGTGCCCTTGGTGGGCGTGTGGCTCCGGTCGTGAGATGGAGGATGCCTCTCGACTGGGAGCGTGTGGTGGTGCCCTTGGTGGGCGTGTGACTCTAGTTGTGAGATAGAAGATGCCTTTCAACCGGGAGCGTGATGTGTAACTGTGTTGGGGCCTGATCGTGAGACGGAGAATTCCTCCGATTGAGGCCAGAGTCTCAGTGATCATTGAACTCCCAGTTCTGTGTATATTTTATGTTGGCATTGATTGTTGTATGTATGTTTTTGACTTGTGCATGTGGATGGTGATGTGTGACGTGATGTGATGTGGGGACGTCAGGAACTCGGCTAGAGTACGGATCCGTAGGGTCCAGTGGTGAGTGGCCTAGGTCGTGTGTGATTTGGCGATGCCAGGAACTCGGCTGGAATATGGTGATCCGTAGCATCTAGTGGTGAGTAGACCTGGGTCCAATGTCGTGATGTGATTTGATGTGACGTGATGTGATGTGATGTGATATGGGGTTAGCAGTGTCTTTCAGAGTATAGGTGATGTGTTATTAATTGCTGTATATGTTAGCATGGTTTTAATTGTGACATGATGCATATTTTGACATGCATAGAGTAGGTGTCATCCGTACTCACTGAGTTTTGCGACTCACTTATTATAATATTTTCAGATATAGGTTACAGTTCTCGGGTTACGTGCCAAGGTCAATACGATCGTCTGCCACTCCAGTTATTGTACGGGCGAGTTCTTTGTTCATTGTTTGTACTCTAGAGCTCACTTTATCCCTCAGGTAGGATCCTGGTTTGTACATGACAGTTTTAAGATATATGTATATAAATGTTTTGGTCACTTGTGGTGTTGTTTGTGACTGTAAGGCTGACTAGGGTCGGGGACCCTAGTGCCGGTCACGGTCCAGGTCGGGCCCTGACAAACAGCCATTTGAGACAGGTGGTTGTTTTACACACTTATGCTATGATTTTGGGCCTATTGAGGTCTTAGACTCCACAGACTGTGTTAGTCTGACTTAGAGTGGTGATCTATGATTGCAAGCTACGTAGTATAGTAGTGCCTGACATGTTATGTTGATTTTATGTTTTCATGATTTTACTGCCCTTAGATATTATCGATTGTGTGCACCCAGTCAAAGTTATATATGACATAGCATAACTTATGATTCTCAGTGCTTAATTCCTTTCAGACTTGCCTTCTATCATATATATTTATGAACTAAAAGAAAGATAGTTGACATAAGTGAACATGATTCTTCTATATTGTGATGCTATTGTTTTATGGATGATTTTTCAAATAGCTGAGATTAAATGAATTTACTGTAATGTTTTTGTCTTGGATTTCCATAAGTTATTCTCTAAAGGTGTTTTGTGCATAATACTACTACAAACTGCTTTGTTTTCACTAAATTTAGATTACATACCATTCACTAGGAACTGGTATTTTCATACTCTTTATATTCTACAAATCTCAGTTAGATTTCCATATATCAGTGTCAAGATATCAATGCACATTAGTTAGAGATTGGGCTAACAAAACTTTCTTGTATTGATTATTTATTAGTAAATTATGTACTCTGCACTAAGCATTGGTCATTAGCATGAAAGGCGATGGATTGGAATTGGGGTTTAGATATAGTACTAATGCATATTTATTTTGCTAGCTTGTTAGTGTGTGAATAATGAATATGTGTGAGAATTGCATTAATGATGTATGTTTTACCGTTTGAGCATATTTATGCATAGCAAATGGATTTATATCATTGCACAGGTGTTACAAGTTCCATTAACAAGTTTCTAGATAGAGGTTATAATAGCCATCACACTATTAGATTTTAGACTCGATGATAGGTGGTTGTTGCTCTACTATTTTGCCTTGCTTAGCAGAAATGAGGTGTGACAATGAGTCTATTGAAATATTTGGATTTGTTACATACCTAGATATCAGTAGAGATCACTAATGAACTTAGTAGATTGCAATTTCTTAGAGCTTTGGACTTGTCCTATAACAACTTCACAGGGCTAATACCCACATGTGGGCAGTTTGGCACATTTCTAAATAATTCATTTTGGGGAAATCATTTGTTTCCGGATTAGGAAAAAGCATTAGTACTTCTCAATGAAGTAGCAGAATATTGAAAGGCAATGGATGCAGGTGGGAAGATATATTGATATGCGGGTGGGACGCTACATTGATGGGATGTGGGTGCGGAGTTGTTTTAGGTTTGGTGTGTGGATGTTGCTTAATTTGGAAGGACTGGATTATGACAATTTCAAATATTAATTGGAATGAACAGAGAAGGAGGATGTCAAAGAAGGTTAAGAAGAATCATTATAGATGGTTTCTGTCACCTTCATAAATATTGTCCAATGTTATTTTTACTTAGGAAAGTCAAGATTACCGCGTAATAATTAAAAAAGAAAAAGGAAAAAGAAACTCCCGGTTACTGAGATTTCTGAGACTGCGAATTTAGCAAGTTAATAATACACTTGATTTGTGTTAGAATGCTTTGATCCTTTGGAGTGGAAAAGTTTATATCAAATTAATTTAGCAAAATGATTTCTGTTAGAAATATATTAAACATCTGGACTAGACAAATTGTTATAAATAAGACAAAGATAGGAATCGAAATTGAAAAAGAAGCGTTTGAGTATTCCAATAGAAAATATATATTGGGCAAGTTTCGAGTTCAAGATAAGAAGAGGAACTGGAAGCCAATGTTGAAATTGAATGATGAATTATGGGGACAATTCATACAGAAGAGACATATTGGGCCTAAACTGAAAGAATGAGAATGCAAAATTAAGGAATGGCTCGGGGTAAGTTTGGAAATATGAAAAAGGGGCAGACGTGAAATTACGAAAATGAAATTGATATGTAGGACATGACTTCAAACAAATTTTGAAAGCAATACGAAAAAAATGATTTTATAATCAAGATGTCTTTGGTGGAAAGATTAATAAATCAAGCAATCCGAGTTTTGACAAGGAAAATGATTAAGAAAGTATAAGAAAATGATGTCGGAGAGTTTCGAAGAAAATGGATATCGCATTAAAAATGATTCTTTACAATCATAAAAATTGAAAAACATAAAAGTGATATTGGAGAGTCTCTAAGAAGTTGGATATTATCTCTTTCTAGGTAAAATTTCTCTTCAAATTCATTAAATATAATTTTTCACGATCATTCAAATCGAAATAGTGCAGGATTCTGAGAACTTTAAATAACTATAACTTTTTATTATAAAATTCAGAAGTACGTTAATCAATATTTCTCTCTTTAAAGTAAGACATATGTAGTTCTCTAACATATTTACTAGAGGGTCCATCAACACATGGTAGTGGCACATTAGAAAATTCCAGGATAGACTGGAAAAACTCTATTCAATGCCATTCTCATTCTACATATCTTCATGAGAGTTTCGAAGACCTCTCATAGCAGGAGAGGAGAAAAAAGAACTAATTTGGTTTATAGAGTACGTCACTTGAATTTTCAGCCGGAGTATCAACTGCTTTCAAGAAATAGTTTTAAAAAAAATGTTTGCACTTTTCTAAATGACTTGAAAAAATTTTTAAAATTAATGATGTTGGATTGATACCAGAAAAATCAAAAAGGCCAAATTCTTACAGAAAACTTATTATAAAAAGGAAATTGGGATTGCCGCACTCAGATTTTATCTTATTGTTAGTACTAATTTTATGCTTCAGATGAGAACATTTTATTAAATAAAAAATTATATTATATTCTTTTAATTTATAAAATTACATTAAAATTTTAAATTAATAGATCTATTTGATTAAAGTGATATTGAGAAATTTAAATTTATATTTATATAGATTAAGTATATAAAATTTTTAATTAAAATTATAATAATAGCATGCCGTATTTAAATTTATCACCTAAAATTTGAAAGAAGCAAATCAATTATTCGAAAAATTTTAATCTGCAAACTCTCAAAAAATTAATAACTAAAATAAGTATAACTAATAAATACATTAAGTTTCCTACTAAAGGATTAAAATTTTGAATATTATTATTAAATTAAAAAGGATAAATTTCTTATTCGTATTCCATATTTTTAGATATAGATTACTAGTTGATGACTGATTTCTAGTCTCAACACTAACAGGGTGATGGATTGTGACTCTAGATAAGTTATGGGGTAAATCAAAAAGAAAGAGACACAAAAACATAAAGAAAATAGAAGACAAATCGAGGGCTAGTCGAAGCGCTTGCATGGACTGGGAAGAAAATGGAGAAGAAAAAAGATCGGACAAAAGCATTGTGAAGTCAGTCTCTCTCAAATAAACTATTTCCCAAACTTATTCCTTCATAAATTTTCTTTTCCTGGGCTACATTTTTTCTCTCTGGTTGGCCCATGGCACGAAGTCCAGTCAAAAAGAGCTGCCTTGACTTGGAGTCAACTCTTACATGTTTGTCACGATGGTTTCTATTCTATGTAAAAAGGAAACAAATTGATTATGAGATCTCTCAATCTCTTCTTAATTTGAGAACTAGTGAGAGAAACAATGAAGAGAATACGGAATCATCAGCTGCTAATTAGCTTGTTGATTTTTTACATAATACACTCATATACAGTCATATTTTGCATATCTGCTGATTCAGTGATTTGCAAACTTAAATCTCTTCAATATCTAGATCTATCCAACAACTACTTTCATGGGCCGATCCCACTATGTTTGGGGAATTTAAGTAGTTTAGTTATGCTTAATTTGCAGAAGAATAATTTCAGCGGGGAAATTCCTCAAACCTTTAATGGGGGCAGTTTGCGAACTCTAGATCTCAGCTACAACAAATTGCAAGGACGTTTTCCAATCTCATTCTCCACCTGTAAAGATCTAGAGGTACTGAACGTTGGTCACAATTCCATAGCTGATGTCTTCCCTCAATGGTTGGAGTTTCTCCCCAAGTTGATTGTTCTGGTGTTGCGAAACAACAAGTTCTACGGACCAATTCCACCCTCCACCAACGCCTCTTCCTTCTCCGAACTTCACATCATCGACCTCTCTCAAAACAATTTTACAGGTATTTATGAATTGTCAATTCATGTTTCTTAATAATTTTTAATTGTATTGGTGATTTGTTTGGCTCAAAATTCTTTTTTAAATCATTGGAAATTTTAGTCATATAAGGGAGGAGTTCAAAAATGTAATTACTTGTTTGAGTGGACTTTAAGATGTGAAGTTCAAAATCCACGATGTTTGTTTGTTTTCATATTAAAGCATCTCAAATTCTGCTAAATGGATTGTTTGATTTCCTTTTGCGAGGCGACTTTTTTAGTAAAAACCTGAAGTTCATGAATAAATGGTTCCCGAATTCAATTCAAACACTTGGATAAAAAAGGCATGATTTTAGAGCTTTTGTTGAAATCCGGATTGGTGTACATGTTGGGTCCCTGTTAACACGAAAACACACAGAGATAATGCCAAGGAAATAAGCGAATCAGATGAACACAAACAACCTTAATTTGTTTTAGTGAAAAGGTACAAAAATTAAAATTTGCTTCCAAGACCACTTCTTTACTAAGAAAATTGAAACTTGTTGGTTTTTCTTTTTTTTTAATTTCATTTTTCCCGTAAAAAATGCCTTCAAACCAAAAGCAACCCTTAATTTGTATCAAATATATTTTTTATGATATCTTGATGTATTGTTTATATATATCAACACATAATGACTCCAGTTATCACGACTAATTATAGGTACCTTGCCCTCCAAAAACTTTGAGAATTGGCACTCAATGGGCAAGCCTGAGAATAATTTATCGTACTCGACGGGAAGCCCTTACTACTCCGACTCTATGATCATAATAAACAAAGGGGTAGAAATGGAGCTAAAAAGAATTCTGATTGTTTTCAAGGCAGTTGATTTCTCCCAAAACAATTTTCATGGAGAGATCCCCATGTCCATCGGGAGGTTTAGAGCACTTCGCGTCCTTAATCTGTCTCGAAATGCTCTCACGGGTGTGATTCCCCCATCTTTGGCCGATCTAAGGGACCTGGAATCCTTAGATTTGTCACATAATCAGTTATCCGGAAAGATCCCTAATGAACTCACTAGATTGACATTTCTTGGAGCTTTGGACTTGTCCTTCAACAAGTTGACTGGTAAGATACCCAAAGGAGGACAGTTTGAAACATTTCCAAATGCATTCATCGGAAATCCGGGTTTGGTTACGTCTCCACCGGGAAAAAATGAAAAACCAACACCATCTAGTAAATCCAGATTGAGTAGTCTTAAATTCAGAGTATTCAAAGCTAATGGATACGGCTGGGAAGATGTATTGGTGGGATATGGATGCGGACTGGTTCTAGGTTTGGTGGGTGGATGTTACTTAATTTGGATGAAAGAAGAACATATTTGGACAGCTTTCAATATTAAAGGGCATGCACAGAGGAAGTCAAGGAAGGCCAAAACGCATCCTTATGGGAAGCAAAAATAAACATCCCAAGCCCAAAGCGAAGTATAACTAGCAATAAATATTGATGTCTTGTTGTATCAGTTGCCTAGGGTGTTGCAACACTATTAATATTGAAAATCTAGAATAGGATTATAATGGTGTCTTTTACCCACGTGAATGTTGTATTATTGTAAGGACAACATGTGAGAGTTCATACTTGCCAAGTTAAGGCTACTGTGTTATAAAAATAAAAAATAAAAAATAAAAAAGCCTTATTTTATGCTTACTAAGATTTCTAATACTTGCGGTTGTTTAATCTCTAAAACTTTTGCTCGACCATCCTTCATCCATCAGTACAAGTTCAAATTCAAGTATTCGGTAGATCATTGTTTTATTGTACTTTATTAATTTTGGAATTAATATTAGACAATTTGGCATTTTATTCTCTTGAAATTCTTTGATGAAGTATTTAACAAATTGACTTCTGTTAAAATTATATTAAACATGTGGACTAGACAAATTTTTTTTTTATCTACATTTAAATTGCATGGATTATCAATTCTTATTAGGAGGGAAGAGAACAGACTGTTGCATATATCAATGACATAGCAAATACAATAAAAATGATGTATCAACTTTCTCGCATCTAAGAAACTTTGAAAACTGGAGAACTCCCGACCAAATCCATGTACACAATCTCAATTCTCAAGCATTATTATAAAACTTTCATGCAATGGCCTCAGATTATCGTGAACATTTCCTTTTGTTTCTTCCCTTACTTGCAATGAACTGAATGCCCCATTAAAATCAATCACCCATCAACTTCAAATAACTATAACTTTTTATTATAGAAACCTAGAGCGAAAAAAAAAAAAAAAAAGCTTTTCAGGTTAGGTTCAAAATGAACTCGTTTAGTTTGTAGAGTACGGCCGCTTGAATTTTCAGCCGAAGTGCAGAAAATGATTTTTAAAATCTGTTTGCAGTTTTTTAAACAAAAAACTTTAGATTAATGATATGGGATTGTTACCAGAAAAAAAATCCAAAAAGGCCAAATTCTCATAGAAAAATTATTATAAAAATGGAAATTGGGATTGTCATACTCAGATTAATCTTATTATTTGTATTATATTTCGTGCATTACAGGTAATGTTGTATTAAATAAAAAATAAAAAACTATCTTATATTATTTTAATTTATAAAATGAGATTAAAACTTGATAGATTTATGTGATTAAAGTGATATTGAGAAAAATAATTTTATGTTTTTATAGAATATGAAAAAAATTTAATTAAAATCATAATAATGGCATGCCTTATTGACATTTATCATCTTAAAAATTTTATCTGAAAACTCTCAAAAAGTTAATAAATAAAATAATTATAACTAATAAATTTCCTATTAAAGGGTTAAAATTATGAAAATTATAGTTAAATAAAACAAGAATAAATTTCTTAATCAAACCTATTGCATATTTTTAGATATAGTGCAGATATAGTTTCCTAGGGGATGGTTGCTTTGTAATCTCAGCATTAACCCGGGGAGGGGGGGGGGGTGGTGGCTGGATTGTAACCGAAATAAGTTGTGCAAAAAATCGAAAAGAGAGAGATTGTGAAGTCTTTTCTGGATTTGATGCGAGGTGTTGACCCGGTCCGTCAGTTGCGGACACATGAAGGTGGAGAGCAAAGTTTCAAACGCGTTTCCTACAAACCAGAGACAATAAACTGCCAAACACGGCCTTACAACGTTTTCTACGGTCGCCAGAGTAACATGTCTGGTTGACTCTCTGCTTTATGTGGGGCTCCCTTCTTCACGCGCAAAGAGAGCAACAAAGCTTTCCCACCCGTCTCGGGAAAGGAGAAATAGAGAGAGATCTGTGCCATGGTTAAAAAAAGAAGAGAAGAGAAATCTCCTTCTGCTCTGTTTGAATCAACTTATGCTTGCACTATCCAAATTGGAGGTCCAACCCGAAAAAATTTGAAGAAAGCGAGAATTAGAGCAACATAGATCAAAAGAAGAAGAGAGAATGTTTTTGTGTTTATGCTGGAAAATGTTGAATAAGAGTTTAAACGAGGAGAATTCGGGTTTTAAAACTTTTGTTTACGTAGATCAATTAATCTACGTGGGCAAAACATATTATTAAAGAATTTAATAAAAAATAAGATATTTGAAGGAATTAAATACAAAATATAGCAATTATTCTAATGATAGAATGTTTATATAAAAAATGCAAAGCTAACAAGTGACAAATTTGGATGATATATTTATTATATTTAAATATAAAAATTTCAGATCAAATACTGAAAAAGGGGTCTATTTTAAAATTTTCATTATATCATAGATATATTTTTCTTTAATAAAAAATATTATTATATAATTTTTTATTTTTCACATAGATAAATATTATTTGTCTAAGTATACAGGTTTTGAAATGTAAAAATCCCATTAGATATTGGAGTATTCTCCTTAAAGGAAACAATTGGTGTAAAAATTTTCAAAAAGCATTGTGAAGTCGGTCTCTCTCCCAAATTTATTCCTTTCTAAATATCCTTTTCGTGGGCTGCATTTTTTCTTCCTATATTTTATGGCCTACAGCTGACTTGACCAATGGCGTGGAGTTAAGTAAAAAAGAGGTGCCCTTGACTTGGACTCAACTTTTACATGGCTTATTACGTTGGTTCCCATTCTATGTAAAAGAAAATAATTTGTAATACCTCAATTTTTTTAGATTAATTAAGATATTTAAAAAGTTTGAGGATTTAATTAAAAGAAACAGAAAGTTAGGGGTTTTAATTGGAAGTTGGAGGGCTTAATTGGATAAAATTTAAACTTTCTAGGGTCAAACAGAAATAGTGTGAGTTGTCAAGGACCATATCACACTTAACTAAGAAATTTATGGACCAAATTGAAATAATCAGAATATTCAGACTTTTGGTTTATCTTTAAACTTCCATATTTCCATGACTAAGATTATCAAATTTGATCAAATTGGAAGGTATTATCTCAAAAGTTTTTACTATATAAGGTGCCATTGGAAGTGTAGATCAAAAACTTTCAATCAATTTCTAAAAATTCATCCTCTCACCTTATTAGTATTTTTGTTTTTGCTCCGCATCCATTTTCCATTACCGAAGCCTTTCAAGCTTAATTTTTGCAAATTAAGCTTCTTAAAAGCCAAATTCTGGAAGCCTTCATGATCGCCTATTCATTTCAACTGTTGATCTACAAGATATTTCACGAAATTGGAGATAAAATTCTTGAATTTTTGCTGAAAAGGGGATCGGGACTGGTTGTAGAAATCGGGTCCACAAGACAAACCCGATTGGGATTCGGGTTTTCCATGGCCCGATTTCCCTAGACTAGGCTTCAATTTGGGTTGGGCCATTGGGTCTAGCCCCTAATTGGTTTAGGCCAAATAATTTGGGCTTATAAAAGAGTTTGCATCTCTTATTCTTACTCTTTTTACTTTGCTTGAAATTGTTTTATATTTATTGAGTGAATTGTACAAGCTTACTTGATTTAATATTTTTATTATTTTTTTTTTTACTCTCTTAACTTTTGCGATAAAAACCCAATTCACTCCCTCTTGGGTTGCCTTTTAGGACAACAGTATTCACTTTCCACAAACTTTTCATTTATAAGCACTCGAGATAAAATTGATTCTAATCTATTTGAGGACAACCAAACCGAGCATGCTTGCGCCATAGATACTGTGAGTAACATACTCTCTAACTTTAGTTCTTTCTAAGCAAATATATGTTTTGTAATGAAAATGGAATGCTATGCAAACCCTATATATATTTTTGATATCAATACTTGGAAATAGAGTGCTTATATTTTGATTTCAATATACTTGACTCTTTAAACTGTTTTATGATATTTTGATACTTTCACACTCAGACTAGGATGTCAGGCAGCCATTTGGGATGGGTGGTTGTTCTACACACTTATGCTATGATTTTGGGCCTATTGGGGTCTTAGACTCCATAGACTGTATTAGTTTGACCTAGTGTAATGTCCCAAATTGCATTTTTTATTTTTGTCAGGGACTATCTTGCACTAATTGAAACAGTTGGGGACTAAAATGAAAGGACCAAAATGTGGAGGGGCCAAATTGGGATTAATCAAAAATTTGACATGAACGGTGACTGACCGGCGGTTTTTGTCAAATTGACCGGTCAATTGATGATTGTTTCCGTCGATTCTCGCACCGTTGTGTGCGTTTTTAGAAAACCCAGTGAAACCCTCGATCAATTGAGAGTGTTTGGGAGAGAAGGGAGAGAATTTTGAGCTGGAAAAAGGGTGCAGACTCTGGAGCTTGACAGGGAGGAAATCCTCGGTTTCTGGCTGAAATTCACCGATTAGAGTCCATAGTGAAGCTCGGAAGCTGGGAAATTCATGGTTGGGAGTCTCGATTGGCCTGGGTAAGTGAAGAATTGATGTTAATTTGAAGATTTGAGAATCCGGGTCTGTTACAGACCCGGATATTTGGTTTGTGCCCCATCGGGCAACAGAGAAGGGACCCAACCGAGCTGGGTCCCGTGGGCTCGGGCTCGGCCGGTTTGAGCTACTGGCCCGCGAGCTTGAGTCGCGGGCTAGTCCAGAGGGGAGGGGAGCAGGGTCCGGGGCCAGGGTCCCGGCTAGCGGGCGGAAGAGAAGGACCTGGAGCGATCCGGGTCCTGTACCAGATTGGGCCGGGCCCGTTTGGGCCCAGGCTTGGCCCGTCTGGGTTGTAGCCCACGGGCTGGCCCGTGGGCCAGACTGGGCTGGGTCGACCCACGGGTTGACTCAGCCTAGCAGGAGCCTGTCTAGGTTGACTCAACGAGTCAACCCAGGTACAAATTTGGGGATAGGCTATTCTGAGGGATAGTAAATTAGGGATAAGGTTGATTGGAGGATAACAGAGGATAGTATAACCTGAATTTCTGGGATTAGGGTTTGGAGAGTTGACTGAACCGGCCAGAACCGGTTCAATGTTTGACCGGCCGGTTCAGTGGTCAAACGGTCTCGAATTTGGGAAGTTGGACTGGTTCTAGATTCAGGAA